AAGTATTCTGTGTTTGGTAGAAGGGGAGGGTTTCTTACTTGATTGTTCTGACCTCTCAACGAGAGCACCAAATGATGGATAGTCTACCCGGGGGGTATCTTATCCGAGGGGTTATTGTGGGAATAACTTAGAGAGAAGTCAGAGCAAATAGGAGGAGAGAGAGTCGATTTATTGAATGAACTCAGCGTGTGGAGTTGAGATGTAGATCGTGATTTACAAGGAGAAATGGGCTGCTATTTATAGCAGCAATAAATGCGATGAGAGGACACGTGTCAGTAATCCAACGGCCGAAGGGTCACATCAGCCTGGTGGCACCGGCAGTGGTACGTCAACCGCATTGAATGCGGTTGGCGGATGTGACGTGGCATTAAATGCGGTGGTTGGTTGTCCCTAAAAGGAATCTTCGATGATTGAGCTAGTTTAGCCGAGGGTTCCTTGTGTAGCCGAGGGCTCCTTGTGTAGCCGAGGGCTCTTTGTGTAGCCGAGGGCTCCTTGCGGCAAGGACCATTGTGTGGCCGAAGGCTTGGTTCAGCCGAAGGCTTCTCCGATGCCGAGGGCGTAACAATGCCGAAGGCTCATGTTTTCGCCCGTTTTCTCCCAGCGGCTTCTTATGCCAAAAAGGCTATCCTGTGAGTTCTAGAGCCTTCGGCCAAGGAGGCCGAAGGCATCCCAGTGTGTACTCTGAGCTACTTTGAGGCTTGGGCCGTTGTATTTGGGCCTGAGTTGTTTCCTGGGCTTAATGGACTTGTGTAGGAGAAGTAGGAGTCTATGGGCCGGGGGTTCCTGGACCATATACTCCATCATTAACTATATAGTTAAAGATGATGAAATGAGGTGACTACCAACCCAAACCATGAAGAAAATGGCATGATCTGAGCTGCCTGTCCTGTGGAATATTATTTCCGTTCGACATATTGAGCAATTTAATATAATTATTCATTATACATGACTTAGAGCTAGTATTAGAAAATGATTTGTTTTCGATAAAAATTTATGATACCAAAAAGTTTAAAACATCAAAATGTGAAAATTTGCCCTAATTTTACAAATTAGACTCAAATATTTAGTGTTATTTATCGTTGCGGGCACATATCTCGAAAAAGTATGTAGTTTTAAAAAACTATGTGATCCAATTTGATTGACGTGGTACCGGGCTATAACTGCAACATGAAGTCTACAATTAATGTTTACTCCGTATTATATTCTCACTATAGAATTGTTCTCACTAAAGTCCTCTACTCTAGTGAGGTTGCATAACTTATGTCGTACTCATCCATTTGAAATATGGTGTATAAATATCCTCTTGCCAGCGGAGTACATTATATATATACTAGAGCTTAATTGCACATATGTTATATACATTGTTCTAAAACTCGCTAGGCGCTAGTCGGGCGGTTGAGGGGCGCCTAGCGGCTAGGCGGCCGACTAGGCCGATTTTTTGGCCGACTAGGCCGATTTTTTGACCGACTAGGCCGACTAGGCCTCTACAGTTAGAGCCGCCCAGGCCGCCTAGGCCGATTAATCGGTCCTCCTAGGCCGATTTTTAGAACAGTGGTTATATATATGTGTGTGCGTGTGCGCGCACACAATAATAATATATAATATATGATGGGTTCATCATCAGTGAGATTGAAGAGATTTAGTTGCCTAGTCTTGATTTGCGAGATCATATTTGTGATGATGACGATCATCACTCCAACCTCATCGCTGCTAACCCTAACAAGGGAGGGGGCAGTCTTTCAGGCTCGGCGTCAATAAGTTTGCTAATTTGACTAATCACGAATTCCGAGCCCTTCGAGCCACTGGCTACAAAAGTCCTCTTATTCACGGTCTTAATGATAATAATGATGATGGTACACCTTTCAAGGAGCCTCAATTGGAAGAAGAAAGGAGTTGTTACTCCTGTCAAGGATCAAAGCCAATGTGGTATGTATCCAATTATTAGACTACATATGATTAAAAAAAATTGAATACACAATACATAATTATAAAATAAATAGATACTCCCTCCGCCCCCCCTAACTTTGTCCCATTTTACCTTTTTCATCTGTCCCATTAAGATTGTCTCATATATACCATATTTGGTAATATTTGGGTGGTTACAATTCATTCTTACTTTATTCACACTTTATCAATTCAATACCAACAACACAATTCACTTTTTCTTAAAAGGTGTGCCACACTCTCTTGTCCCAAACATACTGGGACGGAGGTAGTATTAAATAATATTTGCCATATCTCTTTCATAGTTTCAACTCATTACTTCACTCTAAATAGTAATACAATATGAGTTAGAGTTGCAAGGCAACTATACCACTATACTAGGAAGAGATAATATTTACGTAGATACATGTGATGCTAACTAATCTGTACAACAACCGTGCATAACCTTTGGGATAATACTTTAAAAATTGTCCTAAATAGGAGTAAAAACGTTTTGAAATTCCAAAATAGAACTTTTTTATTCCCTAAATAAGACTTATTTAGTTAGTCCAAAGAAAAAAGATTTTTTGATTTAATACTACAATTTCGGTGAAGAAAGTGGCACAGTTTTCTTCCAATAATCTAAAAGCTCTCGGGCTCTTTCTCCCAGTGCACGACCTTAATCGACGGCGGCTAGGGTTTGTTTTCCGGCGGTGTCCGGCGTGTTTTTGGGTTGCGCCTCTTATCAGCTACAATATCCTCTTATCGGCGGTCGATTGGAAATCCTTCTTGGACGGCTTGATCCATGGAATTCTTGAACATTGGATCCAAGGAAGGCTCTTATTTGCACTAGTGATTCGTATCGGTCTAGAATCCTTTCTTGGACGGGCTGATTCAGGAATTTTACAGGCAATTAATTACAAAGGCAGCATGATAGAAATCTCTTCTGCACCTTGGACATGGATTTCAATGATAAACCTCAATAAGCAAATTGGCGAGAGCAAATTGGCGAGCGCAAGAAGGATAGGGTTTCAGACGAATTTCCCAGGGCTCAAAATTCTCTTCTCCCATACTACAACAACTCGTCCGCCTCCGGAACCACCTCCGGACGAAGAAGCAATTTGGGGAAAGTTTCTATTTTCACATTATTTTTCCTTTGGTAGTACTTGTTTTTTCAAATCGAGTAGGTATAGTTGGAGTATTTTGATTTTTGATAAACATATTTGATAGGCAGTGGCTCATTTTCGATCGTTTTAGGTTTATTGTTGCCCGTTTTATGTCTAGCGAGTCAGATTGCTTTGTATGCCTGCTGCCAGATAGTTATGCAGGAATGATAGACCGCCACATAAGCCCTAGGAGGAGTTCGATCTCACTAGGACTCCGCCCAGGCTCGAGGTCTGCTGTCCAGCTCGGCCTGGTTGTGGGTTCCTTACCTGGGTCTGATTCCTAATTAGGCCTAGCGGCTTATTAATATTAATCACGTTTATGGGCTGATCCCATTGAGGGATAATCCCGTTTATGGGCTGATCCCGTTGAGGGCTAATCCTGTTTATGAGCTTTTAATATAATTTTGTATTTGGGCCATGGTTGTAGTCCATGGTACCATCACGAGCCCCCTATTCTCTAAAATCACTCGGGCTGGATATTAGGAGAGTATGAGCGAGTATTTCAAATTTTGAATCCCTGATGATTCGCAGCACTGTCCTGCATTAAATGTGCCTAAAGTGACATGTGCCTGTAGCCCAGTACAGATTCCAATCCACCCTATCATCTCCAACACTCAAGTGCCTTGGTTGCGGTTCCCAAGTGGTTTTGGATAGTGTCCTAATCTTGGCTATATATTTAAGCGTCCATCATCTTTCATAAGACAACAAGATCCTTGTGGACTATCATGGGGTTGAAACCCACTTCTTTCTTTCTGTTGACTATGCCCAGAGAGTTGTGTCCGTCGCCCTGTTTGATTTTGAATTCAACGAGGCGGTGGCCCTCACGGGTCCTGGTGTTGTTTGTTCCCACCCTGTTCGTGGTTAGAACATAGTAGAACTCCTTACCCCTCTTCATTTTGAGGTTCAATTGGCTAGCCTTCAAGTTGGGCTTATGTTTCCGCTCCATAATGCCGTTTTGGAAATACTGAGCCATTTTTATGAAGGAGAAAAAATAACTTTAAATACATATTTTCTACTTTAAGTGAAAACAATAATTTGGAGTACGTGGTAGAGTATTTATTTAATAATTTTATATTCCACATGAGTCAGTGTATCTCTAACAACTATTACATATATACTCTAATATAGTTGAATATCAAGTTTTAATTTTTACAACAAGGATGTATATATACATTATTCATGAAATCAATGAATTTAAAAAATAAAACAATTTCATCTGTAATCCGTGCAATGCACGGACCAATTGACTAATTTAAAACAAAAGTTGTTCATTGCCAACATATATGTAAATAGTGAGATACCATTTCATACCAATAACAAATCATGTCTCTTTTTCAAATTGTCTCAAAATAATAAAAATGTTTAACATCAAACACATTTTAAAACTTGGGATAAGGGTCAGATAGGGCCTCGAACTCGAAAAAAAATGTCAAATAAGGTCATATTTCGGATGCTCTGTCTGGCCGACGCCATTTGGGGCGGTTCCCGATGGAATTTTTTGATGAAATTTTTTGAGCATCTTCCTCATTAAGTCTAGTTTACCCATACCAAATTTCAGCTAAAAATTCAACCGGGAAGGTAGTCAAATAATTTTCCGAAATGTACGGCGTTGTTTAACTTCACAGTTATCTTCAAAAATTCATTTGACTACCTTCCCGGTTGAGTTTTTAGCTGAAATTTGGTATGAGTAAACTAGACTTAATGAGGAAGATGGTCAAAAAATTTCATCAAAAAATTCCATCGGGAACCGCCCCAAATGGCGTCGGCCAGACAGAGCATCCGAAATATGACCTTATTTGACATTTTTTTTCGAGTTCGAGGCCCTATCTGACCCTTATCCCTTAAAACTTCTATTCATAAATATGCACCGAGGTTTTGCCACAATCTCAAATGTGCGCGTTAGATAATACTCCGTATAAATTTATTAACCTAATTTTTTTTTTGAACGATAACCCCCAAAAAACTTCATAACCACCTAAATTCTACTCCACACCTGTTCATCCCATTTATTAACATCTTGTTTATTCCAATCGAGCAGGAAATTGCTACCAATTCTTGTTGCCGCGATTTCAAAAGGCGAGGCTTAACGTGATGCCTAGGAATGCCATGCTTTCAAATGTTAACTGCAGAATTCAGGTCTGGTGGGGGTTCTTTTTCTTTTGCTTTCTACCAGTATCACTATTTGTAAATGCATAGCTGTGTAAATTTGATACGTACTATGCAAATTTCCATTTTTAAAGAATTATCGTCTTACATATCATATCATATGAAAAAACCTGGGTTTCAATGGTGTCGTTGAATACTTGAGTTGCTATACTTTTTGGGCTTGCTGGGAATATTCATATTTCATACATTGCAGCCACACACGCCCTGCTATTGTAACTACTACTATTATAGGATGCAATTACTTTTCCACTTAAGGTTCGTACATCTGTGCTTGTTCATGCTTTATACACGCAGGCTACCCATAAATTAGCCAACCCCACAGTGGCATACTATACTTTCATGTGACTTGTAAATTAGATAACCAGATGATTAAAATCAGGGTTTATATATGATTAAAAGGAAATTGTGCTTATAACTTGATAGTTGAGGTGCTGTTAATACCTTTTTCAATGCAGAAAACACACATTGCAGTTAGCAAACTGCATTATTTTCAATAGGTGAGGTGCTGTTAGTACCTTTTTCCCTAAAAGGCTCCTAGGGTTCTTTTTTTATTTGATTAGAATAGCTGCAATTCTGTGGAACTTCATGCCATGCCATGGGTATTTCCATTTTTGTATTTATAGGTTTTTGTTTAGTCTTTGGGCTTTGATTGTTTGGGGAACTTGCAATCTGAAAATAAAATCGTAAAGAACTATTTTGATATTTCCAGCCTGTTTTCAGGGTGCATTGGAACTCAGTCTGCCCAGTGAGGAGTTTGTTTCAAAATTGCTCAAAAGAAAATGGGCACTAAGAAGCCCCACCTCCAAAGTTCACCAAATATTGATATCAAATCACTGTACAGAGCAGCGAGATGTGTTTGACAGTGCTTCGTTTGTCATTGATCAACGACCTTCTTTGGGCACAATTTCAGTCGATGTAAACCACTATCAGGCATCCTTTTATGTGGTGAGGGATGATTTGTTACATCCCATGGTGAATGGTAACAAGGCAAGGAAGTTGGATGCATTGCTCCCTCTCCTAGTGGATAACTCAGTAACTGATGTGGTAAGTTAAAGACTTAAATATCCTATAAAAATGTGTATTTGAGCTGGTTGGCACAAGTTTGCTGCATTAATTTGGGTGTGCTTGGGATTTCTTCCCAAGAAAACTTAAAAAGTGGATGCTAGTAACTTGACCACTTACAAAGTCTGAGCATATGAATATTTATAATAAATCAATGTTAGTTGATAGCATGTGAATATGAAAATCACTGGAGGGATATTTTGGATCTCTGAAAGTGCTAGGGAAAGGAAATAGGCCAAGCAAATTTATTTTGTCGTGTTTAGTTTTTACATATTTTTCCCCTTTTATCTTATTATTTTTATCTTTATCCTTTATTTTATCCTTTTTGTCTTTTTGATCTTACCTTATCTTTTTATCCTTCTTATCTTCCTTTCCTTTTGGCTCCTATATGATGTATCGTTTCATGTTAGCCGACCCCAATATCTTTCCGGACTACAACTTGGGTGTTGTTGTTGTGATTGGTTTTACTACAAAAATCACTGGGAAATAAAATGTATTTATTTTTGTATTAGTATTTTAACATAATTTTGTTTTCTTAGTCTTTACATGATAGTAATATATAAATAAATTAAGTTGAACGAATATAAAAAATATTATTTTTCAGTTTGAACGAATGTTTAGTTTTCTGTCACATTTTCTTTGCGTAGCATATTCTAGAATGAGAGGGTAACAGTACTAACCAACTCTCCACTGCAACATTTTTAGGTTACATGTGGAGGTTGTCAAAGTGCACATGCAGCTGCTGTTGGTAAGTGATACAGTAGTCAGTAATTCAGTATATGGCATTGAAACTAGCTTTGGTTGTCACTTTAGCTGGGTCTTTGTTTGAAAATGCAACCTCCCATTTCTTGTTTTAATTTCATGACCCCCTCTAGTTCTTGTGGTTGTCTCATCCAATGTTCTGAAATTTACTTTCCACCCCACCCTCACATAGTTTATGTTTCCAATCACCCTAATCTCCTCAACTAAGGCCACTGTCAATTCATTGACGATGATCATGCAGAATCCATGTGCCCATTTTAATCTATTTTTTCTTTATGCAGCTTATTCGAAACAAAATTATGACCCCAAACCCATACACTAAAATTGAACTAGGGTACTAATGACCTTCATTTTTCTCCATATCCAGATTGACATAGGGCATAAGCTTAGACATAACTCATTCTATCCACCTTCTTTGCAATCAAGGCTTTGGATTTGTATTTTTTTAAAAACATATATTCAAGTAGGGGTATTGCACTTATTTGCACTGAGTGAGCTCTCGTGGGATTAGACGAGACAACTGTGAAAATTGGAGGGGACGTGGTGATTAAAACAAAAATGGTCGGGGGTCTAATTGCATAAAGTGAACTATGGTGGATTTGATAATTGCGATGACAAAAGTCAGAGAGGGTCTCATTTAGTACTCCCCTTTCATGTAATACAGCTGTTTCATGTGCTGAGAGGGGACTGAAGTCGCATTTACTTCTTCGTGGTGAAGAGCCAGAAACTCTTACTGGCTACAATTTAATTTCCACAATGTATGGCAATGTTAAATATGTCCCTAGATCATTGTATGCCAGAAGAGAAGAAATGCTCGCGTTACATGCCAATAAGACGGCTGGCGATGAAGGACTAATAGTCTCGCTTGGTGAAATTCTGGAGGCTTCATTGTCTGACCAAGGATTTGGCGAACAATCTTTCCAACCGACAGCTCATATACGTGCAGAAAGTGAAAAGAAGGTGGTGATTGTTAATGAAGGTGCTGGGGATGCTGTAGGGTTATTAGGTAACTTTTCTGTTCTCACTGTGTTTTTACTTACAGGGTTTCTATGCCTTTGACTGATTTCCAACCGATGGTCCCAATTGAAGCACATATAGGCTCTGCTCTCTTCATTTTTTCTTATTAGTGTTCTTACGACAATGACCAAAATGGACCAGAAGTATTCATACTAGACCAGACCAATAATATCCAGACTAGACTAGATCAGATGCTATATTTCAGATTAGGCCAGAAATCTTCATACAAGACCATGCCGGGAAAATTCGAACCAGATTAGAAAGATCAGGACCAAATCAGACATTAAAAAAGAGCCCAGATCATTTTTTTCAGGCAAAGAGAACTTGGCCATAGTATAAATGAACCCTTCCACCCCCTAATATTAATGTATATGATGTTTGGCAATTGGTCTCATCCACTTGCTTGGTAATCCAATAGAAGATGTCATTTTTTCATGTCCCTCTACATATTATTAACAAACCATGTCACTCCTATCAGGTGTAATGCGCCTTGTGGACTACTTGTCTTGGGAACATTTATTTGGAAGAAATCAATCACTAAGAATTATTGTGGATGCTGGCACAGGAACTACTGCCATTGGTTTAGGACTTGGAGTTGTTCTACTAGGGTGAGCTGCTTCAGTTTATTATGCACATATGAGTGTATATTATACCTCCTTGCATAATTTTAATTCTTATACATACTGGATTAGTGGGTTTAGTCGAATTGTGACCTTTCAAATACAACAACAATCTGCATCTTTTTTATTTAGCTGTTGATTTTACATTTCAGGCTCCCTTGGGAAGTAACTGCAGTGATGCTGGCTGACACTATTGAGGGATATAGAAAAAAGGAGGAAAGTCTAATATCAGAATTTTGTTTGACTTTTAATTTTCCTAATCCTGACCAATTCTTAAGAAAAGGACGTGATGGAATCGTTCACTGGGTAGAACGTCTCGCTCCAAGAAAGTAATTTGTACTGCCCTTTATTGCCTTGTTTCTATTAAATCCTTTCCAGGAAAAGTACTTGCATGATTTTTGCTAGTCAGTGTTGGACAGATTTGGCAATGTGTTGAGAGGTGAAGTGAAGAAATGCCAAATTATTGCTCAGGAAACAGGTATTCTGGTTGATCCTGTATACACCCTAGCTGCCTGGGAATCTGCTATGCAATTTAGTCGGGATGAAAGTTCAAAGGCAGCTGTGATGCTTCACACCGGAGGAACACTTGGTATGTTTGGATTAGCTCAGAGGTACAGATCCTACTTTCAAACGTTGAAAGAGTGAATCTGTGAATGAATCTATCTGTCCCACTGATAATGACATTGAAGAAGTTGCTCTGTCATTAATCTGCATTTCTGCGGGGAAACCTCCACCAGTTATGCTCTTTTGGTGGCTTTCTTATGATCATTATATAGACAAACAGGAGCTGCTATAAGCTTTGATGAGGGATGACTGTAATTTATCAACAAATGTTATCTACAAAAGCTACAGCCCACTTGGGATTATGTTGTCAGAACCCGACTAGGAATTGGACTAGCAGAGTGACCCGGTAAGGTTAACTCAGCCAAGGGATGCCAATTGACCAAAAAAGAAAAATGACTTGCTCTTTTTTATTTTTCATTTTTTTTCATTTTTTTTAATTATATGATGATCCATTTTCATTTTTTGCAACCTTTCCCATAAAATAGAAAAGTAGGATACCTTTTTGTTGTTTCACCCAACCATTTACATAATTATGTAAATCTACTAATAAAATAATGTTAATGGAATTTGGTTTATGTGTAAATTATCAAACAAATCGGCAGCTAGTACATGATGGATAATTTGATATTGTGCTCCTGTAAAAATTGATATTGTGGCAAGAAATTACTAATAATGTTAAAAAAGACCAATTTTTCAATGTTTTCATTTTTCTCTTCCTTACTTCCTTAGTTTTAATATTTTCTTTTATACGGTTTCATCTACTTTCTTTTACCTTTTCAATACTATTCAATACTTATACAATTTACTTTTAGAATCAGTAACAAATGATATAGATGCAAATAAATAAAAACTAATATATAGATAACTATATTTCAACTTATAGAAAAATAATCCAATATGGGATAAATATAATTTTTAAAACATACTTCATGACATTACTATAATTTATGTCCTTTTTGGATAGAGAATGTTACCTAGTCACATTTGTTTAAACATCTTTGTAATAATATTGGTATAACTTTCATCATAATATTAAATATTTTTGTGTGAATATATTAAAGGGAAAAGTACGGAAAATGTACTTGTGGTTGGGTCCGTTTTCAGATAGGGTCATGTGTTTCAGTCTTTATCAAAGTGGTTCATGTGTTTGAATTCCGTTATCACAAGAGGGTCACGCCATTAAAAAAGTCTGAAAAAGACTGTTAAAAGTAACTCCCATTTTCAAAAGTGCCCGGAAAATTAAAAGAAAAATACCGGAAGGTGCGCCTCAATAAGACGACCGCTAGACCATCTTTCTTTTTTATTTTCACCCACCCTTGTCACCGGAAAGTCCACCGGAAAAGTGATATTAGTGAAATCATTTTTAAAAAATAATTCAAATAGATCTGAAAAATCCAAAAGAGAAGGTGGTTTGGAGGTCGTCTTGACGAGGCGCACCTTTCAGTATTTTTCTTTTAATTTTCTGGACACTTTTGAAAATCGGAGTTACTTTTAACGGTCTTTTTCAGACGTTTTTAACGGCGTGACCCTCTTGTGATAACGGAATTCAAACACATGAACCACTTTGATAAAGAAGGAAACACATGACCCTATATGAAAACGGGCCCAACCACAAGTACTTTTTCCGTACTTTTCCCTATATTAAAACATGTTCATCGGGTTGGGTGTCACTTGTTAGAGTCTAGGGCTCTAGGCTTATAAGTTTATTGGGTTTTCGATTGTTCTTTGTCATACACGGTAACCACCTTGATTTTGAGGTCGGTAAACCACATATCTTGGGATCATTAAGTATAAAAAAATTGTCTAAGATAATAAATGTAACATGATATATTTTGATTAATATCTAATGTTTTATATAGTAAAATAGAGTTATAAATCAATGATGTGTTGCTCTATTATTGCTTACTGAAAATTCTATTTAATTCTCTCAAGTTCAACGGTGCATCACTCATTAAGTAAAGGGAGGAGAAAAAATCTCTTATTTTAATTTTAGTGTTATAAGTTTTTTATTTGACACTAATATTGCACATGTAAACATAAAAAAATCGAAGATCCAATTGTTGAAGATTTTTAGGCCTAATTAAGGTAGATCCAATTATACAGTCTTAATGTATTTATAGTTGAAAATTGAGAGGCTTTGTTTTTGTAGATACAATTCACTTAAAATATTTTGTTCATGTACGCTTCCAAATCCTTGTTTAAATTAGATTTCTCTTTTGTCATATATCTAGTACATTGTATCTACTGTTTACTCCTCCGTTACAATTTTAAGCCAAAACATTACAAGTGTATATACGATATGAATTACACTCAAGTTTCGAATATCACGAAAAATAAAATTTGCTTTCGTCATTTGCATCCCATGCATGATGTTAAGCCCGACATTGTCATCTTATGATGTAACTTCATATGAGAATGCATACCTCAATGGTTAGGAGAACCCCAAGCCCTTATTACTAAAGCCTATATGCGATAAATAAACTTCTCTAATCATGCCCTATGAGATGTGACTCCAAACAATTTGATCCTAGTTTTGCAAAGACATGCCCAATGATCACACGAAGAGGCGAATTGAACACCACAAAGAAAGAACGTGAGTTGCCGACTAAGATTCAAGTTTGAGGTTATCCTTAACCTTCAAGGCCCATTACATGTCCTACTAAGACAAATCAACCAAGACTACGAGCAATCATAGAAAAGGAAAAAAAGGAAATTGATACGGAGTATGATAAAATAAAAATGACAAAATTTTGAGCATAGCTATCTTCAAATGACCCATCCAAGACTCGGCCTCGATCTCCATAAAAAATACAGTTGTGATCTTGATTTGTGCTTCCTGACCTACAACTCATCTTACAAAACCGTCATCCCCATGACAAGTGAGTGTAGTCCAAGTGGACACATCCCACACACTTAAGATCCTCCCATATGAAAGGTATTGGATCCAAATAATCAAGAATGTGAATTTAAGATACTTTTCTCAAATGATGATACTCTAACCCTTCGCGTCTAACTTGAGTGGCCAGACAATAAGTAGTTCATGTAGTCTCAAGCAGTAGATTGTGAGTTAGCTTTATGATGAGAGTCTGTAAGTTTGACCAATAAGTGGCGGATCTTGTAGGAGAAGTGTTGGGAATTGAGGACTTGTGATGATGTATAAATGAGCGTTTTAGAACCTAGTGAGTTGTTCAAGCGACTCAAATTTACTTCTCCTAATGGTTTGAGGTGAGTTTTTGAGTGTTTAGGATGAATCTGATAGAGGCGGGATCACCCGGTGTTAACAAAAAAAATCTAGCACCTCTTCCCATATTTGCCAAGCAAGTAATATCCCATTGCGCTTCCGCTCCTATAGGTCGTGAAAGCCCCCACCTACTAATATATTGCTTGTTATTCCATACTAATATAAATTTAGAAATAAGACGAGACAATCATGCATCTTTCTCATCCAATATGAAGATTTTTTCACTCTTCAAATCGTACTAGAGTCACCAAATCATTAGAGCTTTTCATTAACTCTTTCATATGTGATGTTGCATGTCCTGATTGCATTTCTTCCATTCACTTAATATCCGTTAAAGTAAGCAAATAAGAGATCCTACAAGTAATATCTCACAAATTTAAATCGTCCACCAACGTCCTAAGGGAATGACAAAGGGGGCGATAATAAGTAATAACCATATGAACTGTTATACTTTTTGGATAAGAAAATGTCCCCAAATGAGCTTATAGATAATTAATAGAGAGATTAAGCTTACCCCTTATGCAATTTTGTTGTAAAAATCCGATCTGTACACAAATTCAAACGTACAAGGGCAATGGAGTAACTTAGGAAAAGCATTAAGTAGGCTCACATTTATAGTAAAATTTGGTTTCAAAAGAAGGCTGTACATAAGGCAACCCCTTTCGTTGTCTTTAGCATTCTCGTACCCCTCTCAGGCTTCCCTCAACAAAAGAATCGAAAAGGTAAATAAGGCAACCCCATTCATTGTCTTTACTCTTTAGCATTCTCGTACACCCCCCCACCGTACCCCCACCCCCACCCACCCACACTCCCCTGAACCAAAAGTAGACTTCCAGAGAGAGAAAAATATAAATGCCTGTCCTACTCTGACGCTCCGGCGAATCAAACCGCCTCGTTCTCTGTTCCCCACCGGTTTCACGGCCAAAAATGGACGACCCCGGCATTGTCCGATTCCCGGGGACCCTCGATCCCTGCGCTCAAGAATTCTTCCCGACGAATAACCCATTCTCTTCTCTGTTCCCGCCGCCCTGCTTCCCTCATTTCCCTTTTCACCGCCCTCCGCCGCCGCACTACGACGGCGCGGGGTGCTCTGTTCTTGCTCCGCCGCCGTTGCAGAGCCCGGACCTTCCCCTGCCGGCACCGTCCCCGACTCGGGCAGTTCTAGTCAGCATGGTCTCCCCTGACGTCAGTGAGTCGATGGTACGGAGGGAGATGGAGACGTTCGGCGACGTGAGGGCCGTCCAGATGGAGAGAGTGAGGCAGGGGATTGTGACCGTCCATTTCTACGACCTCCGCCACGCGGTGGCGGCAGTGGCGGAGATTCAAGAACAGCACATGCAGCAGCAGTACCGGCTGCGCCTCCACTACGAGTCAGTCATGGCGGCCGCCCATCATTTCCCTCCGCCTCCACCTCCGGCTCGCGGACTCATCGCCGGGCGGGCGGTGTGGGCTCAGTTCGTCGCCCCCGACTTATACGCCGCCGCCGACGGGGGTAATCAAGGGACACTCATCATATTCAACTTGGATACCCACATTTCCAATTCTCAAATCAGAGATATTTTCGAATCATTTGGTACGTCGACAATTCTATTCAATAATTAAATGTTCTTGAGTATTCTTTTTGTATTTATTATCTCCATTAATGAATGATTATAGAACTGTTACTTATTGATTGAAGGGGCGGTGAAGGAATTGAGAGAGTCGCCGGTGAAAAGGAACCAAAGGTTCGTGGAATTCTATGATGTAAGAGATGCAGCAAGAGCATTGTCGGAGATGAACCAGAAAGAAATAAATTCCAGGAAAATCTTGATTCAATACAGTAGACCCGGTGGGTCCGCCGTATCCACCCCCAGATTTCTCCCACCACCGCCGGCGGCGGCGTCATTTCCGCCGCACAGGGCGGCGGCAATGCCGCATCCCAGATGTTATGGCGGCGAGAAACTTAAGAGAAACTCGAAGGGAAACGAAGGGTCATCAGTTCGAGAATCAATGGCTTCTTTGTGTTTAACGAGTGGGAATAGCAACTGGGATGGATCATCTTCTTCTTCGACTTCGTCGAAGCAGAATAGGAGGGGGAATAATAGGCGATCATGGAAAGGGGGGAGCAATAATAAGAATAACAAGGATCGTGAAGATCCTCGGTTCTTAATAAACGAGGACGCCATTGAAGCTGACTCTGGAGATTTAAGAACCACTGTCATGATAAAGAACATACCCAACAAATACAGGTTTAGTACATTTCCTGTATAATCTAATAATGATGATAGACCAATAAGTGTAGTCTTATATTCTACCTTAAATTAGATACTATCTGTGCTTTTTAAATTGTTAGGGTTAGTCTACATGCACTTGTCTCACACTTTATTTTAATTCATTTTTAGAGTATTTATAAAAAAGGGAAAGTTTCCGAAATATGACTAAAAAAGTTTGAAAATTCCAAAATAGGACTGTCATGTTTTTATTCTCAAAATAGGAGTAATTACTGACAAGTTTGAAAAATAATGCCATTTTTGAAGGTTTGGTACTTTCAAAACATGACAATAATTAGTCATATTTTGGGAAAAAACATGAAAGTCCTATTTTGAAAATTTTAAACTTTTTAGTCCTACTTCAGGTAATATTCTCTAAAAAATATTGTGAACATGTACTTAGATTTTGACCCAATGTAAGATGGTACAGTTGGTTTTCAGAATATGATTTTAATAGCCAATTAAAAATTTAGTAGACTATTAATAATTTTTTAATAGTCAATTAAGTAATTATAAAAAAGTCAATTAAATATATTTGATGTCTGAAAGTCAGAAAACATGCATTCTTCCAACTATATAAAAATGGAAGCTGAAATATGTCTTGTATCAAAATAATTGTGTCACTTTTTTTGGGTTTTATAAATTAGTTGTGACATTATTTGTTTTTGGGAAAAATCTAATTTAAAAGCAACTACATTAAACTCTAATGAAAATTTTAAGGAAAATTTGAAAATAATAATCCCAACTATTGCCTGTCCGTTAATAATAATCCCAACTATTGATTATTTTTGTATAATCCCAACTATATGGACCGTCCGCCAATGATGATCCTTGACCAGATAACAAGTGAATTTTCAAATAGAAATTAAGCATAAAAATTAAAAGTTGGGATTATTTATTGGAATTACTTGTTATATCTCTTTTCATCCACTTTAAAAACTATGAGAATTTATTTATAGTCGGTCACATCGGATCATTATTGGCGGAAGGTCCCTAAAGTTGGGATTATTCTGAAATAATTGATAGTTGAGATTATTATGAGCGGACTGTCAATAGTTGAGATTATTACTATCAATTTTTCCAAATTTTAATGGAATATACAGTACTAATAGGGTATAAAAAATTCTTACTTCTTGTAAAATGTATACCTACAATTGGAGGAGTTTTAAGAGGTTGGGGAGAAGGCAGATATGACTAACATTATGTTGAATATATGTGGCCTGGTGTGAATGATATGTAGCCAGAAGCTGCTGTTGAACATGCTGGACAACCACTGTATTCACTGTAACGACCAGATTGCCGGCACCGACGGCGGCGACCTCCCCAAATCCTCATATGATTTCGTTTATCTACCTATTGATTTCATGTGAGTTTTCTCCTTCAATCGTTCTTTGTATAGAAATCATTATACTCATTCCGTATCACTCAACTTTGATAGTTTGAGTGTGAAATTAGAATATAAAAAATTCATTATTATAAAAAGAAAACGAACTTTTTGGGGACAAACAAAATAAATTTGGCAAAGTCCAGTGGGGTGGAGAAGTAGTAATTGAAAAGTAAATAAACCAAACACTCCATCTGTTTCAATTTGTTTGACACACTTTCCCTTTTTCGGTGTTTCAAAATGAATTTCACACTTAGCTTCTTTATTTCGTTATAGATAAGCAAATCTATATGAAAATATGCAAAAAAGTGTCAAAATATTGTACTCTGACGTAAAATCACCCTTCAACAATTTTTTTTTGTTCTAATATTTGTGAAGAAGTCAAAGTGTGACAAACGAATGGAAATGAAGGAAGTACTCATTTTTTGTATGAGTATGTGTTATTTTGTTGTCAAAAATAGAATTATATAGGTGTGATTAGAAAATTCACAAATTCATTAATACTTTCTGCATTTCTGTTTATGTTTATCAATTCACAACTTGTCAACTTTCATTGCCAATACTCAATATATTTAATTCTTTATTAACAAATAATTTAGAAAAAGTTAATGAGATGAAATTAACATACAATGTACTTCAAAAATAAATTACTCATAAATTTATACTAGTATATACTACATAACATGTAATGAAAGTAAAACGCAGGTGAATAATGGTGAGGTTGAATGTTACAACTAACTATTCAATGCATATATATGACTATTTTGTATTGCCCATGAATGAAGAACAGTAACAAGTGCAACGTTGGATATGGGTTCGTGAACATGACCTCCCCGCAGGCCACATGGAGGCTCTACAAAGCATTCCATCAACAATCCTGGGAAGTCTTTAACTCCAGAAAAGTCTGCCAAGTCTCTTATGCTCGATTACAAGTAATTATCATCCCTACATATATTTAAATGATTATCATTTTAAAATCATATCGTCATACTTTAATGCCATTGAGTTTGTTTTTATAATGGCGTTTTACGCATAAACGCTGTTTATTTTATGGTAGATTCTATGGTATCCAAAAGGTACCATACCTTTATTCACATGGACCAATTGGAATATTGCAGTCTAAATTAAAAATGATATACCTACTTGGACCAATCAAGAGAATGATAAGTACGACATCCCATTTTTTAAATGGGTACCGGAGTTCTCACCATATTTTATACACCAAACGCTTGAATATACAACGTGTTGGTGGCTGAAACTCCATCAACCAAACATGTGCATTCTATTTATGATTTCCGTTTTTGTTACAATGTTTGAAGGGTTTAGAAGCATTGAAAGAGCATTTCAAGAACTCGAAGTTCCCGCGGGACGCGGAGGAGTACATGCCGGTGGTGTTCTCTCCCCCGCGAGACGGGAAGACGTTGACCGACCCGGTCCCGATAGTTGACTGCCCAGTTCTCACCAGTCCCCAAAATCCCAGTGGGAGTATGGATGACAATGACTGCAGCAGTGGAGATCTGGGTGATGATTCATGAGTGACCAAAAAACAACTGAAATGCTACTACTCTAGAGGGGTTGGGGGGTTCGGTAATTGTGTTGGATTTGCACACCACTTCCTTGATTCTTCTGTTAATAGAAAAGATAGATGTCCAGTCCTAGTCAGCATCCATCACACCAGGTAGTAGCAACCCATGCCACCACCCACCCAGTGGTGGTGAGGCTCTCATCACAGACCTGAGACTTGACTCAGTGTACTAAGTACTACTGATAGCTGCCAGGCAATTCACTTTGTCAGTCTACTTATTATTAGTGGTATGCATTTGCTCCTCTTTTTCATTTTTGTATCAGCACCACGAAGCTATGAAGCACGGATACTTCCCTAAGGTAGAGTATCGGCGTATCCGATATGTTTCCGTATCCGATACTCTAGGATACCCGTACTGTACGTTCCCGGGCCGTATTTGTAATTTTTAAAAGGTTTCATTTTTTAGTAATTTTTTGAAAGTTTCCGATACTCGTATCCTGACGGATACCCGTATCAACTTTTTTTTAAAAAAAATCCCAAAATTTACTTAATAAAATTCTAAAAAAATGAAAATCTAAAACTACATTTTACTTGGTAATCAAATAATGGGCCTATGGCTATATCTGAATTAAGTCATTAACTCATACTCCGAATTAGGTACTTGTACTTTTAAATTCAAGATTGTAGTTGTTTGAATTATTTCTCATTTTAAATTAATGACTTACGGAGTATTGACTACATTTATATTTCGAGATACACTAATGTATATGAGAAATATTATGAATTTATTATTAAGTATCTTGAAAAAGAAAAATGTTTCAATGCAATGAATAGGTAGACATCATAGGATATTATATGTGTGTGTGTGTGTGTATATATATATATTTGTAAATATATATATATATATATATATATTCAAAAAAAATTGTTTTTAATATTTATAAATAGACCCCTATAACTTTTAATATTTGTAAATACATCCCCATAACTTTTAATATTTATAAATATGACCACGTATTTATATCCTACTTTTTTTTTGGTTTTGACGTATCCCCATACCCGTTTCCGCGTTTCCGCGTACCGGTATCGGTGCTACATAGCCAGGAAGTTTACCTTAACTATTTTGGGCTCTAGATTTGGTTAGGTTAAGATTTGGGAGAAATTCAAAAGAACAAGTCTTACTTTCAGCAATTCAACATTACTACTACCTCTGTCGCTTAAAACTTTGTCAAAGTTGACCAGCACGGAGAATAATAAAGTAAAAACTGTTTGATTGAGGTTTGTGCAGATGAGAGAGAAATAACAGAAATTACAAAATAATTGATTAAAAGGGAAGATGTCAAAATGACGGAGGGAGTAATTCCAATTAAGCGCGACTACGCGAGAGCATATTCTAAAATAATCCAAACCATTAGTGGTCTCCATACTCCATAGAAATGATCAAGGGTGATTCAGGGTGAACTCGATTGAATCTGTGCTTAATATTTCCCAACTTCCCACCCTCGCTTTCTCATTCACTACTCTTCATCTTAGCTCTCAGGTGAGAGAATCACATATGATAGAAACAATGATGAATTTAATCAAATTTTGAAAACATTGATGTTCAATAATAGAACAATCGTACATTTTCAGACCAGACTTAAGAGCATTAGTTTAAATTGAATTCATTTTAAGAGGAAGAGTGAGGAAGGAAAAAGAATAGGAGTTGATGGTATTGGACGGGCTGAGTTCACTATAGTTATTGCAGGATCTCTTAAACTAGGGATTATCCTTGAATTTAACCTAGCTAGTAACTATTATAATTGTTATTTCTTTTTTTTTTTTTATTTCAATTATTAGTACAACTGATAATATTATTATTAGTATTATTAAAATTATTATTATTAAATACGGAGTAGTTTATAAAAAAATGAGGTAACGAACTGGAAGTAGGGGTGGGATCGGGATGATCCCGATCCCGATTGCCCAAATCCCGATCCCGTCCCGATCCTGTCCCGATCCCGATTCAAACTAAAACAGGATCCCGTATCCCGTCCCGATTAAGTCGGGATCCCGACATTAAAATCCCGATTAAGTCGGGATCCCGATCAGGAATCCCGCTAAATCCCGACAATGAAGTATCAAACATAAAATTATGTAATTTCTTTAGTTAAACACTAACTTTGATATTTAGTGATTTCAATATTATTCTTTGTTTACTGTTATACCATATTTATCATCATCTACTTAAAGGTAATTATTGTAATAATTTTCATCTCAAACTCACATTAGTATATACTTTTAGAATAGTTTTTATTTGTAACTTCAATTAATTAATAGTATAATTTTTGAATAAGCTATCAAGGCTTAATGAAACTTACTTCAAACCATATATAAAAAACAATAAAAGAAGGATATGTAACGTATATTATTTAAAATTCAAAACTAAGTAGACTCATTGAGAAACTTTGTGACCAATGAATATAGGGAAAAGGTGCAAATAGGTCCATGTACTAACCAAAAAAGGTCAAATAAACCCTTATTTAGGAGACTCTGTCCGGCCGTCGTCATTTGGGGTGGTTCCCGGTGGAATTTTTTGACGAATTTTTTTAGCATCTTATTCATCAAGTCTAATTTACTCATATCAAATTTCAGCTAAAACTTCAATCGGGAAGGCATTCAAATGAATTCTTGAAGATAACTGCGCTTCTAACTGCACAGTTATTTTCAAGAATTCATTTGAATGCCTTCCCGATTGAAGTTTTAGCTGAAATTTGGTATGAGTAAACTAGACTTAATGAATAAGATGCTAAAAAAATTTCATCAAAAAATTCCACCGGAAACCACCCCAAATGACGACGGCCGGACAGAACTTCCTTAATAAGGGCTTATTTGACCTTTTTTGGTTAGTACATGGGCCTATTTGCACCTTTTCCCATGAATATAATGTGTAAATACATATTATGATTATCTACTAAAGAAAGAAATCTTAGTCTCGATCATAATTTTTTAAAGAGTTCATCAGAATCGCAAAATTTGTAATATTGTATGTTGTGATTTAGATTGTTGGGATCAAGAATAATCTCTACTTAGTTAGGATACCCAATATTCATTTTCGGACAAATGCCGAATAGTTTTAGAAGTTTGATATTGTAAGATAATCGTAGTAAAAGATTAATCTATGTAAGGAATAAGTAATTCAAAAAGATGTGCAAATATTTAGATACATATTCATTTTATATAAATGTATATTCATTTTTTATATATTCATATATAATTATATACATGTGTAAATATATATATATATATATATATATATATATATATATATATATATATATATATATATATAATGTCGGGATGTCGGGATTTTCCCGATCCCGACTTTTTTTTTTTTTAAAAATCCCGGTCTCGTCCCGACTTAGTCGAGATCGAGAAAAATTCCCGACTAGTCGAGATCGGGATTGTCGGGATCAGGAGTCGGGAGTTTTTTCCAAGCCCTAACTGGAAGTGCCGGCTCCACTTCAAATTTTTGGGAGAACCAAATTGGACTAGTAAACCTTCGGCTCCAAATTAGAAGCACTGTGCGTTTCTGGTTTTGGTTCTAATTCAAAAGCTGGCGATTCGGGTTTCAAGCATGGTCTAATTATCGAAATTTGGGACATGTCTTACTGTTGGTCATCGGAAAATAATATTTCGTCGGTGGAAGGTGTAACTATTACTAACCGGAGCATAAGTCATATTTTTGTAAATTAGTTTTATATCTAATTCAGTAATATTTTTGAAAGGTATTTTAATTTTCTAAAACTTACCTCATCCGTCTCTTATAATTTTGTCGAAATTGACTGACAAGTACAATATTTGTGTGATTGATATTTGTGCAGAGAAAAAGAATTAACAAAGAACATAAAATTTTTAATTTAAAAAAGAAAGTGACAAAGTTAGTGGTACATTCAAAACAGAAAAGAAAAAATTGACAAAATAATCTCACCTTTCACTGGTCTTCTCATAATAATCACACTTTTACATAATCCCAAAATAATCCCACTTTTGCACCCCATCTTCTTTCATTGGACCTTGACTTGTTGATGACCTATTATACCCGGGTTTTTACCATTTCTTTGAAAATCTTATATAAATAATCTCACCTTTATAAAGATATAATAAAAAAAGTGAAATGTGAATTATTTACTCCGTATATAATTTTCAAAGAAAGAGTACAAAAAACCCGGTAGAGTAGGTCATCAACACTTCAACGGGTTATGGTCCAATGAAAGAAGATGAGGTGTAAAAGATGGAATTATTCTGGGATTACGTAAAATTGGGATCATTATGAGAAGACCGGTGAAAGGTGAGATTATTCTTGTCAATTTTTTCAAAAGAAAATTGACGAAGTATACAAGACTAGAAATTATATTGCTTCATTATCTATGTAGTACGTAGTACTACCTCCGTCCCGCTAAGATTGTCTCGTTTTACCATTTCGGTTCGTCCCACTAAAATTGTCTCATACCAAATTTGGCAAAGTTTGTGTGGCTCTAAATCATTCTTACTTTATTCTTACTTAATCAATTCAATATCAACCACATAAATCACTTTTTGTTAATTTGCGTGTCACTCCCTCTTGTCCCATTGTTAGTGGGACGAAAGGAGTATATTGCAATTTTTCTATTTTATGAGGGCGTGTGCATTGTGCTGCTTAGTTCAAGCAATGTGCATCATATAGGGGTGAGCAAAAATACCGAACCGACATGGTACCGATACGAATCGGTATGGTACCGGACCGAAAAACGGGGTTTGAAACGGATCTCGAATTTTTCGTCCCGTACCGGACCGTGCCGGTTCAAAGCAATGCCATGACCGGTTCTCATAAAATGAGAACCAGTACTGGACCGAACCGGACTAAAGTATGATTACTTATTTAAATTTACATTTATATCATTACTTTGATTAGTGTCTTCACACTTTCACCGTCTTTGCTAGTTCATATCAAGTCAGGAACCGGACCGATGTATGGTTTAATTAATTATTTAAATTTGTACTACTATAGTTTATCTGAAATTTATTATTATGTAATACTACCACAGTCCCAAATTAATTTACAAAATTAATTTTTCTTGGTCAAACAGTTTCATGTTATTCACTTAATTAGAATGTCAATTTTTAATTATATTTAATTTGAAGTTTACAACTTTGAAAAGATTTAATGTAGTTCCTGAGTATGTAAATTTTAATTGTTAAAAATTAAATTAATTACCGATAAAGGGGATTTAACATTGGTTGTCAAAAAAGTATTGACTTTGCATATCAATTTGGGATCAATTATGTGAATTTTTGAAGGATGGCTAAACTTTTCTTTCCCATTAAACATTTGGAAAAAATGGCATTGCTTGGTATTGGTATGGTACCGTCCCGTTTGAAAATGGAACCGTACCGAACGAGTTTAGGTC